TTTTGGGATATTCAAATTTTAATGAATTCTAGATACTTTTATAAAAGTCTCTGGGTACTAAATTTTAAACAAAAAGTACTCATATAGAATTTAAAAATTTGTTTCTTGCTAACTACAAGATTTTTGGAGACTTTGACAAATAATAATAATGATGATGATAATATGTATTTTTTTCCAATATTTCTCTTTCCTTTTTCTTTCTAAGAACATTAGAGTTATGACTAAAATTAATTTTTGTATCGATTATATTTGTTTCCATTTATTTTTCTCTTTCTCTTATTGTTTATATCTATTTTCAGTGAAAAAAAATTAAAACGGATTCTTGTAAAAAAAATTTCATTCATTTTGAAATTTTTTTTACAAAAAAATATCTATTTTTTTATTAAATTATAAAATTTTATATCGCAATTTTAGAATTAAAGCTAAATACATTGATTTTTATTTATTTTTAAATATATATAATATTGAATATTAAATATGTATGTGTGTTTGTATTTATTATTTACTTAATTCAAGTATTAACTTTTTATTCGTATATAAGAATTTCACATTATTGTACTAGATCATTTTGAAAATCTTTTGAATTTCAGAAAAGTCTATAAAAGTTTTAAAATATAAGTTCATAGAACTCTACAAAATATTTCCACTAATTCCATACAAGTCTATAAGAAAATTTACGAAATTTACATAAGTCATCACTTAAAAAAGTCCATCAAAACTTTCAAAAGTTCCAATTGAATACGCCACCTATAATGAAAAATACTACAAATATTTTACAACTTTATAGGGGTCCCTTTTGCAATTCCAATAAATATGTGGGTCATAGAGAAGTTTCTAGAAAGTTGTGGAACTCATACTTGGAAGCATCATGATGCTACAAATGGCAAAACATACTGTAGCAGTTCCCTGACTCACTTTCCACGTTTGGCCTATTTTTAGACCACACATCCATCCCTTTCTTCTCATTGTTTATTGAACTTTTGACAAAATCTCAATTGGTTCTCTAAAATTAATTTGTTTATTCTTCCTTCGTTTTTCATTCTCAAGTCCTTGCACTTACAACGTTTCGTTCTATTATGGATCAATTTGTTAACATACCGCCTAACCATTTTTTATTAACATAATGACATCAGACCTTTTTCTCAGCCCACGCGATTGAATCAACTACTTTACTTTTGGTACCAACAAATTTTAGTTTCAAACTTCATTGCTCTAACACATAATTTTGTCGCCTAAACTAATAGAATATACTTAGCTGTTTACCTAAGGTTTATAATCGGTCAAACTATTTATATCAACACATTTAATGAAATTCATAAGTATTAACTATTTATCTAATATCCATATAAATCTATTTAAAATTTAAGGGGGCGTTTGTTTCTCATTTTTGCAAAAATGAGAATGAAAAATATAGTTATTATGGGCCCCACACAAGAGATAGAAATTCAAATTTGATAGTTTGATGTGATGGATGACGATCATATTTTTCATTTTAATGAAAAAAGAATGAGAAACAAACGGGAGCTTAAATCATTTCAAAACATTTTCCAAACATGCTTTGTTGAAAGTCCCACCTCAATTTATCTTTTACATAAATTCTATGTGGTACCCTTGAAATGGAAATGGTAAAATGAGGTTATGACAATATCTTTAGATTATTAGATTAAAAGATATAGTTTCTTTTTTATTAAAAAACTTTTACGTTGTGATTTATTTGTAAGTTTACATGTCATTCAATAATTACATGATAAATACGTTGTGGTATGACAACCAATTAAATGGATTTCATTAATTTAGAAAATGGGATTTAATTGAGCTATTGAACTTCAATATATCTCAATTAAAAGCATCGAATTTTAGTTTAACTTCGAATTTCATTTTCCCATCATATTTCATCACCAAATGATAAAATAAGAGTTATGTAAATGTCGTTAGATTTAAATATTGAAAGATGTGTTTTTCTATTATAACATATTTATGATGTAGCATGGTGAAATATTAACATGTCAGGAATCAATTTCATAAAAAAATCGTTGTGATATGATTGTTAATTAAATAATTCTTATCAATTTGTGAGACGACATGTGAAGTGGTGAAATTTGAAATTATATCAAAGTTTAACATTCAATTGAAATTAAATGAAAGTTTAGTCGTTCAATTGACAAATGAAGGAATTGTTTGGTGGGATTTTTGCCCACTCCTCCACGGCTTGGTCCCAACCAAACCTTACTCGATAGTGGAGGTGACTAACAATTGGCCACTCTGATATTTCACTCGGATGCTGCTTGCTCCTGCATCAATGTCTATGCTTAAGCCATGTCTTAGGAGTACCTCCACCCACCCGAATGATCTACCTACCTTACAAGTTGTTCTTTGCATCTTTTTTTCCTAGAAGTTGATTCTTCTAGAATCCTCTCGAAGTTTCACTTCGTCTATGGGCATTGTAGAAAAGATAGAATATGACCTTAATCGTTAGCCCTATTATTGTAAGAAAATGTATTAGAGAAGAGCTTTTTTTTTTTTTTTTTTGAAAAATATGTAGTTATAAGGTAAGAAAAAAAATTTCAATTCATGAAAAAAATTATTTTACAAAAGAATGCACACTTAAAAGTGAATTTTTGAAGAAATGGGAGTCAAACACAGTATATAATTGTGATCTTTACCCTTTTTCTATTTTGATTCTACACCGTTTTCTCTCTCCTCCTCTCCGTCTCACCACGACACCACCTACACGACCCTATGATGAGCCATGTGTACTATATACGCAAATACAGACACCATTTTCCGCCAAAAACTCTTCTTTACGGAGCCTTTTCTCACCGAATAGACTAATAAAGATAAAGATTTATACTTTCAGCTCAAAATCCACTAAATGGAGCAAGAATTAGAAAGAAATATGGAACAAAATAGTGGCCAATATGAAGTCTTGATCACAACTGTGAAAGAAGAGCCTTTGATAGTACTTGATGATGATGAAGAAGAGAATATTGTGTGCGGCGGCGGCGGTGGTGCATGCACTGTGGTGCCAAAACCAATGGAAGGGCTTAGAGAAATTGGGCCATCGCCATTTTTGAAGAAAACATTTGAGATGGTGGATGATCCTGCAACAGAGGACATCATTTCATGGGGTTCTATGAGAAACAGCTTCATTGTGTGGGATCCCCACAAATTTTCGACAGATTTGCTCCCTAAAAACTTCAAGCACAACAATTTCTCAAGCTTTGTTCGTCAGCTTAACACCTATGTAAGCATTCTTGTAAATATGTGTGGAGGTGGGGTGGGGTTGGGGTGTTTAGGAGTAGGAGTGATTTCTGTTTCTTTTGATTTCTGCACTTTTGGATTGTTTTGATGGGGAAAATGGAATTGCTTTACTACAAGAAACTTTGCTTTTAACAACGAAATGTTCTTTTGTAGAAAGTCATTTTTGGGGATAATCGAAAAAAATTTCAAGGCCAAAGTTTTCATGGTTAAGATCTTTTGATGTGGTGATTAGTTTTAATGAATCAAATTTAATTATTTTGCATCAGTTATTAATTTTTGAATCATAAAAATAGGCTCTTTGTTTCTTGTTTCTAGCGGAAAAACAGAAATATGTCATTTTGTGTTTGTGCATTTCTATTATAAAGTCTATATGTCGTTGATAAATTCTTGATATATAAAGTGTAGCTATAAAATTTATTTTTTTCTGATATAATCAAAAGAAAATTCAATATGCTGATTTACTGTTTGAGATGAAACAAATGGATTTTGTGTTGTTCTGAGTGTGAGAAATAGTATATTTGTGCTGTTTTACCCTTTTGCATTTTGGGGTTGTACACAAATTACTGTCTTTTGCCCTTATTGTTTTTCTTGTTATTTCGAAATAAATTTAGCTGGGTTATTATTGTTGTGTTAAACTCAAAATGGTATTTAGGGCAATTATAAAAGAAAGAACAAACATTCCTGTCGTGCTCTGCATAGGTCCACAGTTAGATTTGTAATAAGAGTATGTTATAATCCCTTTAGTTTTCTGTTTCTAGTTACCGAAACATTCGTGAGGCAAGTGCCAAATTCTAATTTGTTCATTGTCTCAGTTATATTTTCCTAAATCCCAGTTTGAGGCATCCAAAGAACAATAATGTTAATGGATGTGCGAATTGATGGGACTTTGTTATGCAATTGTTTCAGAGATTCAGGAAGATTCATTCAGACCGATGGGAATTTGCAAATGAAGGTTTTCAGCAAGGGAAGAAACATTTGTTGAACCATATCACAAGGAGACAGAAAAATCCTCAAATCATGCCACAGCACGGGGCAGCACAATCTTGGTTAAGTGTCACCAAGAACGGTGCGGAGGCTGAGATTGAAAAACTAAGGACTGATCAGAATGTACTGAAAGCTGAAATTTCGAAACTAAGGCAGCAGCAAGGGAATATGGAGCATTATTTAGCAGCCATTAAGGATCGTTTGCAGGACACTGAAATGAAGCAAAAACACACTGTTGTTTTCACGATGAAAGCGCTAAAAAATCCTGGGATTTTGCAGAACTTCATCGAGAAAAAGAAAAAGAAAAGGGCACTAGCCAGTGGTCAAATCTTGAAGAAACGACGAATGGATGCTCCCAATTTAGGTAATGGTGGTTTACAGGAAGTGATGAGAACCATTGATATTGAAGAGGTTGCTGATATGAATGCTGATTATAAGAGGCTTCAAGGTCAAGAAGAGCTTACTACAATTCAAACAGAAATACAAACAATGTTCTCTTCTGATGAATCAAATAGTTCATATTTTTCATCTGAAAATTTTGTCTTGTGGGAGAAACTCATGGAAGATGACAAGATTTACGATGCAGAGCAAGCAGAAGAAGAAGCAACAGAAAGGCAACAACAGGATATAGTAATGGAACTGGAGGATTTGCTGGCAAAGCCACTGGAATGGAATATGCATGAGAAAGGCCTGGTCATACCGGTATCTACTGCGTAATTGCCGAGGTAAGATATGATCCTGTAATTGCTATTATGTTATTTTCCACATATATTTATGCAATAAATTTCATGCAGGAGGGCAAATGGAAACTGCTGATGGTCTTTTCTTTTCAGTTTGTAGTTGTATATTCTACCTATTTCGTTGTCTTGTAATTTGCTCAGTGTTTATTCTTCATATCATCTTTGAATGTAAAAGTTTACAGTTGTGAAGCTAGAATAATAAATCCCTTCTTAATTGTCCTTTATGTTCATGAAATCACAATGCTTAAATTCACTCAATTTGGTTTCTGCATTGCATTAGTATAAAAGAAGATATGATATAGATTCATTTCTCGAGTTTATGATCTAACTTGACTGGGAGTTTACGGTTTCATGTTCTACTATTTTGGACCATTTTGCAGAGGACAGCCATGTCGTGTTCTATCAAACTACTTGGTGTCCAGTAGGGTTTCATGTTCTCCTCGTTTTTTGGCTATTCAGCAGTCGAGTCATGCTCTATCAAACTAATTGGTGTCAAGTAGACCTTCTTGTTTGAAAGTGAAGGTGACTGTAGTTTGCGTGGGGAGGGAGTATATTGACAATGGTGGCATGTCTGGGTGTGTGTAGGGGGAGTATATTGACAAGGTGACAATAGGGGGGAAAATCCTGTGCTATAAACTACAGATAAAATAGTAGAAAATAGAGAGGTTTAGAATCTGTCTGGGAGTGATTTTGAGAATTGATTTTTTTTTTTCATTAGGAGAAAAGTGGGGTTCACTTGTGAGAGAAGAAGTCAAATATGACAGTTGAAATAGTGAAATAACGGTTAAAAAATCAATTTTTTGAGATAAAAAATCATTTCCAAACAGGCTCTTAATAGACTTTTCTATATTTAATTGAGAATAAAATTCTCATATTTATAGTTAAAATTAGGGTTGCAGGGTACAATGGTAATAAAAATGAGGGATGTAGGGATAAAATGATAATTCAATAATTAATATTTAATTTATAGCCTTCATTGAATGATTATTTAAAACATATCTATTTGTTTGATAAAAATTTTAATGTGGGACAAAAAATCAAGCTCTTGTTTGGTTTAACTACAAAATTGCTTAAAATTTAAGTTAAAATCAATAATTAATATTAATTAACCTTTCACGGTTTCTAAATTTTTAATCAAACATTCTATTAATTTTTATTAAAATTTAAAAATTTTATTTTTATTTAAGCCCGCGTTTGGTGCATATTAAAATTTGTTTTTTAATAAATTTTGATATATGCTAATGAATTGTGTGATTCAAAAGTTGCAAATCTAAAAAAATATGTGGTTAGAATTAATTGTTGATTTTGACTTGAATTAAAATTTAATGCTTGTTTGAAGGGTATTTTTCCAAAAAAGAGAATGATATTTTCAACCGTTGGGCTCGACTCTCTAAACAAATTATGAGAAGCAAGTCAAACTTGGTATGCTAGGTGGGGCCCAATAACGGCTCTTTTACTTCTAAAAATGGAGGAAAAATGGGAAATAAACAGGGGCTTAGATTTGAATTTCTATCGAAGAGGAGCTAAATCAAATAGGGGTCAAAAGAAAGAAAAAAAATAATAGAATTTTTTTTTGGAGCATTAAAAATTGATGTCTCATTAGAACTTAGCTAGAAAAACCAATAAAGGAAAAGAGTAACTGCTTCCCTAATGTTGACATCAAAGATTTTGAGTTAGTGCATTCTTATCTCGTGTATTAATTTCTTAAATATAAACGTCGATAATGCTTATGCGAATAAGTCAGTCACATTACTACTTGAGGGTATTTATTTAACGTCGATGTCACCAATCCACTGAAACTCATGTATATCAAAGAACTATGAAAAAATATGCTTTATTTTGTTCGTTTTGATATAGCTTTTTTTGAGTTGTTCAAGACAACTTACATTGTTTTCATACAATATTGTTGGACTATTTATTATTGAAGCTAGTTTATAAGATGCTTGGATATGATAGGTATTGTTCCTCAATTGTACACATTATTTTTGTCCGCCTTAGTGTAACTTTTATTTTCATTGTTTTTGGATTCATCAAGCTTACAACCAATTTTAGTGATAGCTCTACCTTCTCCACCACCTCTATAGGGGGTTCATCAACAGGGAGCTCGATTTCTCTGTCATTAGCCGCATCACTTTCTCATACTAACAAAACCCCTAACTCCCAATTTTTGCTTTGACGGCCCACTGTGTACTTCTCATTTTACTAAAAATAGAGGCCTTTCTCTTGTCATAGTTGCCACTTTGCGTCTGACATCCTCTTCGTGGTGTATTCTCGGTGTGGACCGGAGAATTTCTCCCCTAATGTCAACGTCGACATCTTTGTAGGGAACCCTCTGATTTTATTGTCCCATTGATTTGGGTTTGCACCCAATTTTGTAACCTTCTGGGCCTAGGTTTTTCTTAGTGGTAGGTATTTAAAATGACAATTCTAAAAGCAGTTATAAAATTTACTTGAGCACATATTAGGTTTTTAATCAAAATTATTATTACTCCACTCATCTCTCAATCTCACATTCTTTCCATCCCAATTGTCGCGAACAGAGGCGATGCTAGTGACATGCAGACAAGGTCAGCACTATGCCACCATTGTTAGATGCTTGGATCATTGCTGTGAGCGACGACCTGGATGCCACATCATTGCTGTGAGCGACGCAGCAGCAAAGGGACTGCCTATGCTTAGGGATGACAATCAGGCTCGTCGGTTAGAGCAGCTCGTGGCTCGATTCGAAAAAAGCTTGAGCCCGCCCAGATCGAGGCTCGGAAGAATCGAGCCAAGGTTCGGATCGAGCCTCATTTTGGGGTGCCGGGCAAAGCTCGAGCAAGCCTATATTTATAAAAAAATAAAAATAAATAAATTAAAGGGAGCTAGTTGCTGCCATGTTTATAGAAAAAATCAGCAAAACATCGAGCATGCCCGGCTCGACTCTGAAAGGCCGGAGTCGAAAGCTCGGGTCGAGCCTATTTTTTTGGCCGAGCTTTGGCTCGGTTCCGAAAAAAGGCTTGATCATTTTACTCGAGTTGAGCCCGAGCCTAAAATTTCGACTCGCGAGCCGGCTCGGCTCGTTGACAACGCTACCTATGCTCGCATCCTCTCTAGCCGTGCTAGTGACATGCAGACAAGGTCAGTACTATGCCACCATTGTTAGATGCTTGGATCATTGCTGTGAGTGACGACCTAGATGCCACGTCATTGCTGTGAGCTCTACAGCAACGAAGGGATCGCCTACGCTCCCATCCTCTCCGGTCAAACTTTGTTCTCCGCTGCGCAGCTTCAGACAAATTAAGGTTTTTCAGTACTTGTAGAGTTTGAGAAATTAGCCCACTTGATCCTATGATAACACGAGATGTTGAAGGGGATGAAGGTGTTGAACTAGGAGTAGTCTCCGATTCTCTATCTTTTCCAAGAAATGGTTCGAGAAAGTTGACGGAAGTTTGTCGTTGCCGATGGTTCTATATTAGTTGACGTTGCGGTGGTGATACTGTGGTGCTATGATTGACGGATCGATGGTGGTACTATGCTGCTTTTGTGGTGTGATGGTGGTGTGTTGTGCGTTAGTGATGATTGTGTTGCTTTTGTGATTATGGTGGTGGTGGTGGTGTCGATGGAGGCTTGTGGGTTTTTTATTGGGGTGGTGGTTGTGGTCAGATCATGTTCGTAGGTCACAAATCACAATCCACAGTTGGTGATGATAAGTCACAATACCATATCACAGGTCTTTTCCATAGGTCACAGAAAAATGTAAACAGGGTTTTAAATCAAACAAAGTTGGTCACTGGTTACACTCCATCGATCATGTCATATTGTATATCATAGATCAATTTCATCGATCACAAATCAAATAGGATTGATCACAATTCAAGTCACATATCATCATTCACATGTCAAATGTCATATTATGATTGCCCCGTTTGTTTCACATCAATGTAAAAATAAGAATGAAAAATATAGACGTTACGAGCTCCACACAAGAAATAGAAATTCAAATATGGTAGCTAGATGTAATGAATAACGATCATATTTTTTATTTTAATAGTCAAATAATGGAAAACAAATAGAGGCTATGCCCCCTTTGAGTCCCATTATTTCTCATTACATTAAATTAAATTTCTCTCTCCTACTTTTAACTACACAATTTTCAATAAAATAATATTACACGTAAATCAAAAAATTTTCAACCACTCATTTTTCAAAAAAACACTATTTATGTCATTATAATCTACAAATAATGGGGCTCAAACGACCCTATATATGTTACATATTAATGTCAGCGACTCACAAGTCATTTTGTACAAGTAATAATTCAATTTCTACAAGTCACAGATATAAGAGAATTGGTCACACGTCACCGACTCAGCTACTCTGAAAATTCCCTGTCTACTATGATCCTTTCTACTCTTATTTACAAACTTTTTCTAACTGAATTCCGAAAAACCTTCCTCTTTAACAGCATTCTGTTTTCCCTTCCCTCCATCTGGTACTCCATCCTTTTTCTTCTTGTAGAATACGTGAACTTGATAGGGGGCTCACTAGTTTCATCACTATAACAAATGATTCTGAAGCTTATGATAAGTCAGTGGCAAGTTTGAATTCTTCTTTATTCTCAGTAAACGCGTTGCTAAAAATTCTTCTAATTTCCACAAGTTTCATTGCTCTTTCAGTGGACGCACATTGAAATGTTCCAATCCCAAGTTGAACTATCTCAGAATCAGCATCAACGTCCACGATCTTGTTTAGTACTGCTAAACAATGAGAAAAAAAAAATGCAGTTCCCAAGTTCCACTGTGCCCATGATATGATGAAGACGTTTCACATAATACAGAGTACTAGATTATAGTGAAGAAGATGGGGAAGGAGAGACAAGGAAGAAAAAGAGAGAATTTGACGGAGAAAATCAATACTAATTCAATAATCAAGTCTTACTACCACAAAATCCTTCCTCCTACTTATGCTTGGCAACCTTGACAAAAGATGGAAAATTACCAAACTACGTAAATAAAAAATGGATAAAGCTGCTTTACACCCCCCTCAATGTGAGAGGGGTTCACGAATATTTTATTACATGTGGGCCTCCCTTCATGTGAGGGGGGTGTACACCATTGTGTACACACAGCACAACCCATAAAAAATTACCCAACGATATGGCATGTTATCCATAAATAACAATTCTAAGGATCTCCAACAGATGAATGAATCAATAAATAAAATTACACTTGGACACATGTTCAACACTATCATAATGTTTCGATTGCAAATAATAATCACAGAAAATCAGAAAATTATAAAAACATGTACAAGAAGACAGCAGAGCACAACGGCAACTTTTTATTAGCCGTGCATGCAGAAAGGAAACAGATTTTGAGATTCAGATCTATTTCCAACTATTAACCCGTTTTAAATATGTTAGGGTGACATAAAGATGCTTCGCTCAAGTCTACCTATGTCCTGTGGGCAGCAGCCATATTCTTGTTGGTACCAGATAACTGTAATTCTCAAGTGCCGTCAACTTGAGCATTGTCCATGGCAACTTCTGCTTCCATGAAGAATGGGTCTGGCCGAAACTACTGAAATGCCAATCATCCAGGGAAATATAGAGACTGGACAAACAATTGATGAACTTTCTACAGGTCCAAGATAATAAGAAATCATGTGACACTTCAATAAATTAGTGTTCATTTGATTGATGATGAGATGAAACAGAACAGCGATTCTTGTCAGAAGATCTGAACGTACAACAGATTAATCTTAAGACTTGATAGATAAAAGAATCACAGGAATTATAATTTCATACAGGTTTAGAGGTAACAGATTTGCTTAGATATGCAGGAATCTACATGCACGTATGCGCGCGCGCATACATAGAGAGAGAGAGAGAGGTTCATTTATCAAAACACGGCCCTCATATGGATGAGCCTTACTTAAAAGATCTTAAGTTTTTGAAACCATACACATTCCTAAGCAATCTAACATAAAAGTAAATGATCATGGAACCAAAGTGATGAAATCCCAATATATTAACGAGCAGGATCATGTTGACAGTTCTATGGAAATAAAAACATAGAGAAAAATTGTTCAATGCCAAAACATGAGCAAATAAATTTGATTTGTATTGGCAAATTACTGCAGTGTAATGGCATTGCAGAATAAATGAACCAAAGAAATTGGCATGGCTGATGGCATTGCAGAGAATGAACCAAAAGAAATTGGCGTAGTTTAAAAAACTGATAACCCAATGCATATTTCATAATAATATCAGAAAAAAACAATGGTGGTCGTCAAACTTTTTTTTTTTTAATTGGTGGGTGGGATTGGGTGTTGGCTTTGAAGGTTCACCTTTACAAGAGAGTCTTGTGAGAAGTCAATGAAAACATCAAATGAAGCATTACATTATAGTCAGTGTCAATCAGAGACCTTGTACCTTTGGGGAAGAAAGATGAAGAACAGCTGAGTTCGGTAGAGAAAACATCTCGTGATATGCATCTCCAAACATCCAAGTCCATGGAATATTTTGTGTAACGCGACCCAATCCTAACTGCTAGACTGCAACTTAACTCCATCCGACTATCATTGTAATCAATCAAGCAAACTGCCCATAAGAAGTTGACAACGGATGTAGAGTTGGGGGTGTCATTTTTCTCTGACCTTGAGGCCTTCAGGCGATAGAAAAACTCATTCTCATTCCAAGAAATTGTAATATGAAAGCAAATTTTATAACTCGTTAAGTTTCATACAATGTAGTTTTTATCATGTAAATTTTCAAAAAATAACTCTCACATAACAATTAACTATCAATCCCTATTATGACTGCGAGGAGAGCAAAACTTTTCCAACCCTCTTCCAATAGACACTGGCAATCAACCTTCCTTCTTTGGTGAGCACACAACATTATCAGAATCCTTCTTTGGCTGAATTGTCTCAATAAGAGCCTCAATTTCTTCCTTTGCTCGTTCAAACACATTTGGCGCTTTAACTTCGCTAATTGGGGTACTCTCGTCAATATCATCGCTCCTTCCATGAGTTTCCCTATGATGATGATGTGGTGACTCCCCTTTGTGCATGAGTGACTCAATCTCTTCCTTCGCCCGTTCAATAAGATTGGGTCCCTTGACATCCTTCTCTGTCAATGTCAAAACATGGCATAAGAGTGGAATGACTTTGAAAACTTCACGAGCCAAGCAGGAATAAAAGAAACTACAAGGCAAGAAAAAGCTGACCCAGAATATTTTGTACCGGCTCAAATAAGTAAGGTTCGGACCTACATGAATCAGATGAGGGAAACTTGTTTCATTAAGTACTGGGGTAATAAAACATGATTTGTTACTAGGAGTGGGTGTGGTTGGGTTCGGGCGTTTCCTAAGATAACTGGACCAAGTACCAATGGGTATTTTGAAAATGGAACCATTGGTTCCATCTCAAAATAATGAACTGGACCAATCCAATGCAGTTCCTTGTCGACTTCTCAAATTCACTAATTGATGCAAATGAAATGTCGAACCATATAAGTTCTTAAGTTATAAAAGTTTAATATCTAAATTCTCCATAATTTATTTATTAAAACGCTTTATATTGATGATAATGATTTGCATTTTCCAAGATTAATTAAACACGGCAATTTACGTCAAATGCTTAATTATTGACTTGAATAAGTTCTTTAAAAACATGTTCCAATATCACTTCTATTTTCTTGATACTTTGAGGTTTGAAAATGACAACTTGGAAAGGATGTAAGGCACCCAAGCCTCTTATTAATCTAAAATTACATCTGTGAAATTTAGATGTAATTTAATGGATTCTTTTGACTGATTTATAAATAACTCCATACTAAAATGAATCGTTTGATATACTATGATGGAACTCATAAGAAAAATGTAAAATGATTGTGAATACCACCAGCCATCTTTAAAACAAAGACTAAAAATTTCGGTTAAACCAGCTTTTTTGGTTCTTGGTATTAGAACCGAAATCCGAAAATCGGACTGGACTGGCTTCTCAATTTTAATACCTAGAACTTATTACAACTTGAGTAGAACTGGATCGAACTGGCCAGTTCTGGTCCGATTCTGATTTTCTCCAATGATTTTAGTAACTTTTGCCCACCCCTAGTACATATTATTATAAAAGCTAAAGAGTAGTTTTTCTTGTTAATTCTAGTTTAGCTTTTCCAACCAATTTTCCCAATTATGAAGAGGAAAATCTAAGGATAACTCTCTCTATTTAGGTCAGTCCTACAGTTCTGAAACACCCTCTAGTACCATCAGATGAGTGGTACAACGGCTATCAACAGATTTTCCACCAAAAGGAAATGAAATTTCTAAATCTTCTATTAACAGATCGAACTGGCCGGTTCAAGTCCGATGAGGCATTCTTGTTCTCCACTCCAGCATTACATGTTCGAATAACATATCCTCTTTGCACGTTTCAAATAAATGTCTTCTTATCATGTATGCATTTTGTCATCATGTAATTACAGCTTATAGTGTTCATTTATTGCTCCCACATTAGGCAGCATTTTTTAAAAAACCCCTTAAACATAGGATTGCACAAGAGAAGTTGTTTCTTTATATGTATATGAGTATGAAATCTGAACTCCTCATGTCACATGACAAGTGCAACTTTCAAATGGCTATTAACAATCACAAAACACTATGTACCTGAAGGAACTTCTGGTTTCTTTGATTCCAAATGATCCAGTGAGCCAGAATTTCTGCAAATGATCATAATTTGTTGTGAAAATTAACTCAATCCCTGCAATTCATCTTAAATGAACCGTTGATTTCCTAACCTCTTTTCACCAAGTGAAGACGAACAGTGATTTTTCGATTCCTTCTTTGGATGAATCGCCTCCACAACGGCCTCAATTTCCTCCTTTGCTCTTTCAAATGCATTTGGAGCCTTGACATCACTCAAAGATGTATCCTCATTGAGGTCACTACGCAGTCCATGAGTTTCCTTGTGACGGTGATTCGGGCGATTCTCATGGTGAAATACCGCCACAATCTTTTCCTTAGCCCTCTCAAATATATTGGGCGCTTTCACATCTTTTTCTGACACAATTTCAATTATCGTCAAATCGTAAAAAAATTACATTTCTATCCAATATGTACATACCGATATCAAAATAAAGAGGTTGTTTGCACAACAGAAACAACAAATGGTTTCTTATCAATAAAAAAATCTAAGATTTTCCCAGTATACGCAATTGCAGAAATTTCTAATAAATCGAGGGAAAACCTACCTGGGCTGGATCTTGATTCAGCCATTGAACGATTATCAGAGATTCCTTGATTTATATCCAATCAGGGTTTGGATTATATCTGAGATTTAAAAGATCAGACGCAAATATCTGTTCCGAACGCTCGCAGAGACGTATAAAGAATAACGAGTGGCACCTTTTGACAGGTTTCAGTGCGGACCAATCTGTGGGTCCGTGTCTTATAGCATGTTTGGACAAGCTTCTAAGACCTCGAAGAATATTCTTAATAAAAAGCGCTTCTAGCCACCTTTTTTTAAGCTTAACCAAACACGGTCATTTTCCTTCCGTTAAACAAAATAAAATGGAAAGAAAAAAAATAAAAACAAAAATAAAAATAAATAAAAATAAAAAGGGAAATTAAGGACCCGTTTGATAAGACTTTTATTGTTCTTTTTGCTTTTTGTAGAAGAGTTTTGGAAGAAGCCACCTGAATTTTTGTTTCCAAAATTTTTAAAAGAGATTCTTATTTCGAAAATACTTTTAGAAGAAACTACATTAGACTAGGATCCTCTAAAAGCGACTTTTGAGATTTAAAAGCTCCTTTTAACTTTTTTAAAATTATGTCGAACGGGCCTTTAGTGTAGGAGATCGTGCTCCTTCAATTGAGATGGATGTCGCACTGCTCGTTATTCGGAATTGGATTGAATCAAGAATCAATGATTAAATTATAATGAAACCATTGATTCCATCTATAATTATGAAATCAAACAACAACCAAATAGAACTAAATCGAATTGTTCCACTTTGGCTTCGTTCAATTCCACAACAAAAAAATTCTTCAATTTATCTATCTTGAGCTATCGTTCGCTTTTCTTCAATTTATTTCTTTTTACCGCAGTAATCTGAACAAATTCTTGACCAAATAACTTTCTTTCATCAATTTCGTCCCAACAAACTGGAGTTCTACGTTTTCTACCATATAGTGTTTCAAAAGGAATCATTTCTATGTTAGAATAATGGCATTTATTATAAGAAAACTCCAAATGTAGATAGATATCCTAATTTGCTTTAAACTATCTTTTTTATTCTCATTCTTAAATTAATGGAAAACAAACGGAGCATATATTCTAAAACCATGTTAAAAGTGGTTTGCAAGACCCGTGAAGGTGTTAAAGTGCTGAAAGCATATGATAGATGGGGTCAAAGGTTGACAAAGACTGTAATTGTTGCAGTAATAAACTTTGTGTTAGCATTGTCATATTGAAACATCTTTTAAACATTAAATACCTGTGAAGTATATTGAAATAGAAAATTGAATGAAGGAGACAAAATGAAGAAGGAAAAAATGTGCCAACATAAGATATGCTGAGCGAGCTGGCATTGTTGAACAATGTGAAGTCCAAATTTTCTCATAAGTTACACGAGCAAATTTAGAGCCCGTTTGGAAGTCATTTTGAAAATTAATTTTTTGACCGTTAGGGAAAAAGTGGGATCCATCCGTGAGAGAAGAAGTCAAATATGACAGCTGGAATAGTGAAATAACAGTCAAAAAATCAATTTTTTGGGCCAAAAAATCACTTCCAAACAAGCTGTTATTGTATGAGAAATAAATGTGTCAATAAAATCGAGAAAACACTAATATGATTAAAATAATTAGTTAACTGCACGTGAAATTTTTATATAGGTGGCAAGATTTTTGTTTAATCTTTTCTGGATTTGTAGACTGACCAGTTTGGTCCTCATTCTCATTCTCATTCTTTTTCTCTCTCCCATTTTCAACTATACAATTTTTTATAAAATAGTATTACACACAAATCGAAAATTTTTCATTCTTTTTCAACCATGCATTTTTCAAAAAAACATTATTCCAACTATTAAAATTTGAAAAGAATGGGGGCCTACAAGGCTAGCTTGTTTGAAAATTTGAATTGTCATTAGAGAAAAAAATGTTTATATAGGTAGACAAATATATCCTCAGCAGTTAAGAACCAAACGTATTGCATGATTTCATACTTGTTTAATTTTCTAGCTGTTCAAAAATGTACAAATTAAGTAAAAAATTGTCTTCTAAATATTATCTCAACAATGATAGACTTATCAATGAATTCACAAAACTATAAATGAGACGTGGAAATGGTGAGAAATAAATGATAGGCTTGGAAAAGAAATATGGTGAAATTATATTCTTTACAATATCTTTTGAGTTTTTCTTATTGTCTCATTTAATTTGCTAAAAATATAGTGGTTAGCACGTGCAACACACATGCAAACTTTATGAAATAGTAATAAATATGTTGTTATAATAAATTTTATTTCAAAGTTGAGAAGTGTTAAATACGCTCCTAAATAGAGTCATGCTTATGTAGCGAATATTTATTTATTCCTTTCTCAGCTGAGTGTGATTGAGGACTACAGAGTCAAAAACTTTTCAACCACTCATTTTTCAAAAAAATATTATTTATCTCATTAAAATCTACAAATAATGGAGCTCAAACGACCCCTAAATCCCACACAGTCGATCTTAAAAATATTTTACATGTTCCAAAATCTCAAAAAATCTTCCCAGCATCGCAAAATTTACCTTTGTTCAACGGGTTCTTTGATCATGAAGGATTTTATCTCAAGATTTATCGAGTTGTAATGGGGTTTTCCTCATTCTTTGACATCACAATGCTAGAATAAGATAAGAACTAGAAAGAAATAAATGCTCTTAAATACTCTTGACATCAAGATAACTCTATTTCTAACCATAATAATATTTTCTCAGATAAAAATAAAATTTATAATTTTAAAATCTTTATTACTATTTCATAAAATTTGCACGTACAAACAGTATAGCTAAGAAAATAATAATTTCGAAGTTATTGTCGAAATTTTATATTTTTACCTCACAATTTTTCCATGCCTATCATATGTTTCTCACTAGTTGCATGTTTCATTTACTGTTTCTAAAGTTTAGTGATCAATTGACTAGATTTTATCTAAATAACAATAATATATATATATATATATATATATATATATAT